AGATTTTTGTTAACTTGCTTTTCTTTCTGATATTTTCCTCTTTATCTTTAGGAATATGTCATAAATAAATGTACCACATAGATATCCATGTGGTTTCTTGTTTCATTGTATTTAAACAGTTGTTGGATGGGGAAGAAGTAAATAATCCAGATTGTAGAAGGAAAAATATATTCACTTGAAAGTTAGAAGAAAGCCAGGCATGGTGGCACATGTCTCTTCTTCCAGCACTTGAAAGGCCTAGACAAGAGGGTCGTGAGTTTGAGGCCAGCTTAGTCTGCCTCAGAAACAAACAAGCCACAAAGTAGTTAAAGGATGTTAAGTCAGTATTGTGGTCAAACCATCCTTGGCCTGGTAAAGACTGACATTACTGTGGTTTGAGGAACCTTCCAGCATAGCAGGCCTTTGATTGTGGTCCTGCTCTGTGTTTTCAAGGGCAAAGCCCGCACTGTTTCAGTGAGGACCTTGACTGTCTACCCTAAGGAGTCCTGGGTGTGCATTCCTGGGTTCACGTTCACTCTAGTGGCCCCATGGGCCTAATTTCATCAGATGGGTGTATTGGCAATTGTTTAGCAATCTTGTATCCCAGAGTAGGGGCAAGAAAGGACACTGACAATTATCCCAGATTCCTGGTCCAGTGGCAGGCAATGTAACTGGTTCCTACATCCTGCTAATCAGGATTGGTGTGGTTGTGGAATCCTGTTTCTGTCAGGTCCCATTCATATGGACACACAAAAGGAAGAGAGTTAAACTGTGGCTTCCTCCTCTTGGCCTGCTAACCTAGGAGGGCTCTACAATAGGTAGGGTGTTGTCTGCAGGAGTGTTCCTGCATGTTTCCAGGACTATTCATGACCAGGTTATCTGCTGGGTCAGTGTTGTGGGTCTGTGACAGTCAGGCACTTGTTAGGAACCTGGCACATGTCTGACTGTGAACAACTGGGCTAATCTTTGAGTATACAAATGGTTACTAGAAGCCAGTTTGCATTTAGATCACTGTCTGAGATCTTATGACAAGTCTAGTTGTGTCTGCATAGGTTAGACAGCTAGCATTTCCTTTTCAGACGTAGAATCAGCTGAGATTAAACAGCGTATCCAAAGTCACATGGCTGGTAAATGATGACACAAAAACTTGTGTGTGTCCAGATCCTAGTTCCTCTGCTATGTGACTGGTTTGTAGTGTAGAGGCCTCAGAACCTGTTCCTTGGGCAGGGGGAGTTAGAGCAGTGATTAATGGAAGGCAGAAACTTATCCTCTTGAAAAAATGTAGGTACAAAGCCCTGATTTTGATCATGCATTTAAATTGTGTTTTAAATTTTAAGCCCATGTTCAACAGAACTGTTAACAGGAGTGTATTTAAAGAGTTAGAAGCTAGGAAGATGGCTCAGTTGGTATACAAGCATGAGGATCTCCATAAAGCCAGGCATGTTGGCACACACTTGTAATCCCAGCACTGGGGAAGTGGAGACAGGAGGGTCCCTGAGGCTTGCTGGGCAGCTGGTCTAGCCAAATCTGAGCTCTAGGTTCAATGAGTGACCCTGTCTCTAAAAATAAGGTAGATGGGGCTAGCAAGATAGCTTAGCAGGTAAAAACCACTTGTGGCAACCCTGGGGACCTGAGTTTGATCTCTGGAACCCACGTGGTGGAAGGAGACAATTGATTTCCTCTGATCTCCATGTGTGTGCACACCCCCCCCCAATAAAAATTTAAAAATAAGGTGGTAGGCAACTGAGGAAGATACTGAACATCGACCTCTGGCTTCCACACATGTATACACACACCTGCATACACATGAGCATTTACTTCATTACACAAACACAACTTATAGTTGATAAAGTGCTTGCTTTGCAAATATGAGGACCTGAGACCTAGAACCCATTGAAAAAAAAAGCCAGTCATGACATGCACCTGAAATCCCAGGGCTGGGGAGGCAGAGAAAGGTGGGTCCTTGAGGCTTGGTGAATCCCAGGCCAGCGAATCCCTGTCTCAAAGGTGGATGGCTTCTGAGGAATAACAGCCAAGTTTATCCTCTTATCTGCATATGACACATGCGCATACACACACACACACACACACACACACACACACACACACACACACAGAGCTGTTGGGAATTGCTGAATCAAATAAACTGAAGAAAGTTTCTTTCCTCAGACTTCCCCCGTGGAGTAAGGGTCAGTGAATTTCTCTGAAGGGCGGGTACTTGGCCTGTCATGCACACACACCTGACCATACTGTCCTCTCTTTGTAAGCAGGAGTCAATAATTGTTCTTGAAAGGTGCTGTCAACAACTAGAAATAACAAGAGAGGGGCTGGACCTAGTAGTGATGCATGCCTTTAATCCCAGCATTCTGGAGGCAGACACAGGCAGATCTCTGGGAGTTCAAGGCCAGCCTGGTCTACATAAAGAATTCTAGGTCATCCAGTACTACATATGAGACTTTGGAAAGTATATATATAGACTTGATAACTATAGACGTGGCTATAAAAATTTCGGGATATACTGTAATTTTTTCCTAGTGGTAGGATCAAACCAGAGTTCATATATACTAGGCAAATGCTCTAGCACTGAGCTATATTTCCAGCCAGCATATATCTCTGAGATACTTTTAAAAACATAATCACAATACAACTATTATAACTAAGCAACTCCAATAAATTTTTCTCTATCATCAAATATTCAGTGTTCAAATTCAGTTTTCTTTTTCTTTTTTCTATCTTTTTGTTTGTTTTGTTTTTTGAGAAACGGTCTCCCTGTAGCTACAGCTAGCCTGAAACTCACTATATAATAGACCAGGCTGGCCTCTATCTCTCAGCTCTGCCTGCCCTTGCCTCCTGAGTGCTGGGATTAAAGTCCTGTGCCAACCACACCCAGCTGAAATTTCATTTCCTCACCAGTGGTTTGAATTAGAATTCCATATAGTTTTTAAGATAGACTCAACCTACAGGGTTAGGGTTAATGTTCTCTTTTAAAACAAGAAATCTGCTGTAGACATGGCCACCACACTCTGAGGGCAGTGGGGCTAGGGAGTAGCTCTCTTTTTACCTAAGGGACTTAAAGTGACTAAGAAGAAACTCTAAGGCTAGGCCAGCGAGATTGCTAAGTGAGTAGGAGTGCTTGCTGCGAAGCCTGACAATCTGAGTTCAATCCCAGAGACCTACAGGGTAGAAAGAAAGAAGTGACTCCTTCAAGTTGTCCTTTGACCTCCACACAGGTGCTGTGGTACACACACACACACACACACACACACACACACACGAGTAAATAAATTAATTTAAAAAAATTAAAAACCGGGTCTGGAGAGATGGCTCAGCAGTTAAGAACGCTGGCTGTTCTTGCAGAAGACCCAGGTTTGAATCCCAGCACCCACATGGCAGCTAACAACTGTCTATAACTTCAGTTCCAGGGGATCTGACAGCCTCTTCTGTCCTCCATCCATTGCATGACACAGGTGCACTTACCACCATGCAAGCAATACACACATACACATAAAATAAAAATAACAAATATTTTAAAAAATTAAAAACCTAGGGGCTAGAGAGATGGCTTAGTGGTTAAGAGCATTGGCTGTTCTTGCAGAAGACCTGGGTTTGAGTCTGAGCATCCACATGATGGCTGTCAGTAACTCCAGTTCCAGGGGATCCGATGCATTCATCTGTCCTCCTCAGGGACTGCATGACACAGGTGCACTTACACACATGCAGGCATAACACTCATACACATAAAATAAAAATAAATAAATTTTAAAAAATTTAAAACCTGAGCTACAATCTTGTATAAACCAAAAGTTACATGAAGAAAACTCAAAGTAGGGGAAGCAAAATAGAATCATGCATGAAGCTAAGAGCACGTGCTGTGACATACATGCTTCATGAAGCTCAACATGTAACTAAACTTTCCAGTAGCCAAAACAGAAGGAACTGGCAAGAGACACCACTGATAATCTCCACAAGATGGAAGAAAATTCAGGTATGGTATGAACAGTTATTTATGTAGTAAGGGAATATAAGAATTTCTTACAAGGATCTTCTCATTAAAACATTGATGTAGAGAAGGCTTGGGGATATGGGTAGTTGGTAGAGTGCTTGCCTAGCAAGCATGAAACCCTGGGTTTGATTGCCAGCACTGTAAATCCAATGTGGTAGTGCACCCCTGGCATCCCAGCACTTAGGAGTTTAAAAATCATGTTGTTTTTTTTTTTGTTTTCTTTTGTTGTCTTTTTGAGATAGGGTCTCCCTGTAGTCCCAGCTGACCTGGAGTTTGCTCTGTAGACCAGGTTGACCTCGATCTCACAGAGATTTGCCTGCCTCTTCCTCCAGGGTGCTGGGATTAAAGACATGTGCCACCACACTCTAATCAAGATCATCTTTGACTACATAGTGAGTTGGAGGCCAGTCTGGGCTACATGAGACCCTGGGTCAAAATCAAGTTTCTGTGGAGTATTCTGATAAACCATCCTGAATGATAAGCAATGGAATGTAGTCTGAACTCCAAAAAGGTAGTTGTTGGAAGCTGTGAGATGAATATTTTCAGAAGGATTCTGCAAGAACATACCTTATACTAAGTGCATTCAGATGAACCTGGTTTCACTGGGCTGCAAACCTAGATAGGTGCTCCAGTTTGCCTGGCACCATGCCAGTTTGCCTCTTATCCCCAGGTCCCATCTCTCTAACACTCCCTTTTGTTCTCAGAAGTGTCCCAGTTTTGAGACTATGCAGAAAATACCTTGCAGACCTGAGGAGACCTTCCCAACCCATCCAGCTCCCCAGAATCAGGATCCTTCAGTG